TAAGTCAAAAGGAAGTTGCTTCATCTGATCTTCCAAGAAATCAGGAGAGCCAATTCCCCACGAAGCCACTTCCAGCCAACAGGATGGGAGCACCTCCTCTGCTTCAACCTCTATAGGGAGAGTAACTTTGAAGCCACCAATCCATCAATTGCTTTTGTCTCTTTTCAATCAATCAATTGTTTTCATTTCTTTTCTGTCCCCCCCCCCCCCCCCCCCCGGCCCCTTTCTGGTTATCAAGCCACCCTGCACTCAGCTCCCCAGAACTGGGGTGGCGACCTCTTCTAGAATCACAAACATAAGTCAGTGAGGATCATGCAAAGGTAGGGGATCAGTCCAGCGTTAGCCAGCTGTGTACTAGGCCTTTGCTACACAGCTGGTGCAGCAAGAAACAGATAAAAAAATAAAAAAGACACTAGCAATCTAATGCATCGTGTATTTGCTCGGGCCTGGTGGTGTAGACTTATGGTGCTGGCGCTCAAGAGGCTGAGGTAGGAGAACCACGAGTTCAAGACCAGGCTGGACCACATAGCAAGACCCTATTTTAAAAAGGGAATAGGGGCCAGATAAGATGGTCCAGTGTATCAAGGAGCAGGCTGTCAAGGAAGATAACCTAAGATCAATCCCTGGGACTCAGATGGTAGAAGGCCCAAAAGATGTCCTCGGACCTCTATGTGTGTGCCACAGCTCTACAAGCGGATAGATAAATGTGATTTGAAAATTTATACATATATATGTGTTTATATATGATTTATACAGAAAACTTTATATAATATATATGTGTGTATACATATAATGTGCGTATATATATTTCAGATAAACTCACTATAGTTTTGCCTTTTAACAGAAGCCTGGATTAGTCACTGGCTTCTGAACTGGGGTACCCCATGGGACTGAGCCCTTAACCTGGGGATGTTGCACTAACTCCAGGTAGAAAATGCTGGAATTTAACTCAACTCTGGGACAGCTGGAATAGGAGAATTGGCCGGTACTGAAATGCCTTGTGCCACCAAGCCTAGGCCCCTCTCTGTTGAGACATAGTAGGAGTTTGGACTTCTCGGAGCCCTTTCTTGTGCCTTGCCAGTCTATGCCCCCAAGGCCAGGAGCTCAGGAGCCCCTAAAACATCAACAAAGGTGTTAGGCTGTTGCCAAAGCATTGGAAGAAACTGGGCCTGGCATTGAGCCTAGGTCCTTAAGCCCTTGCACAAACTCTGACACTCCCCGCCCCCCCGGCCCCCCCCCCCCCCCCCCGGGGCACTTCTTTCCTTTTCCATCATAGGGTAAACAGCACTCTCCTGCAGGTGTCCTTACTCAACGCCTGGACAGGCCCAGTTGGTGCGCTTGTGGCTTCCTTCTTTGGAGTCCCAGCCAGCTCCATTACCAACTGCAAGGAACCTTCCTTTACGGAAATTCTCCTGTGGCTACTTTTGGAATGGCACCAACCACAACTTCAGCGAAAGGAAGCGCAGGAGAAAACTGGTTTCCCAACATCAAAGAAACGTAAAATGTTTAGCAGCCACAGTTCATGAAGGCAATGTCTAGAGTGAGGCAGGAAGAGAACTCGGATGAGAGAAAGTGCTGAGGTGCCCGTGTTCACAGCTTCTGAGGGTTAGAAAGGAAGTTATCAGACCATTGTCAGCAGCTGTGGGAATATCTGTCAAAGTCTGACAGGCTTAGTGTCAGTGTGTGTGTGTGTGTGTGTGTGTGTGTGTGTGTGTGTGTGTGTGTG